CCTCAGCACCACATAAGCAAAAAGAAAAAAGCCGGAAGTGGTGCTGTGGCTCAAGTGGTAGAGTGCTAGCCTTGAGCTGAAGAGCTGAGAGACAGTGCCCAGGCCCAGAGTTCAGGCCCCATGACCGGACCACCCAAAAAAATTAAAAAAAAAAAGAAAATGTAGATGAAATGGTTATTTTCTGGGTGATAAACGATCAGAATCATCCTTAGAAAAACACACAACCAATTACTGAGATAGTAAGATCACCTTCCGCACACCAGGCTGTAGTGACTATGAGTGCATTTTGTCCGACTTCCTGGGATATTTAATTGTCATGGCAATTGATGTTTCAGAGCATGGAAGGATCCATTTCCCTCTGGAATTTGGAACACTTTGATTTATTTTTCCATTTTTCAGAACTTAAAACACTTTTGTCTATTTTCAGAGAGAGAGGGGGAGAGAGAGAGAAGAAAGAGAGAGAGAGTGTGTATGTCAGTGTATGTATATACAACCGTGCTAGGCTTGAACTCAGGTGCTTGCATTTGGCTTTTTTGTTCAGGCTGTCACTCTACCACTTGAGCCATTCCTATACTTCTGGCTTTTTGGTGGTTACTTGGCGATAGGAGTTTCTTGGATTTATCTGCCAGGCTAGCTTTAAGCTGCAATCCTCAGATCTCAGCTTCCCCAATATCTAGGATTATAGGCTTAAGCCACCAGCACCCAAGAAATGTAGGTCCCATGGTTTCCCTTATTTGCAATGACTAGTATACGTCTAAGATGATCTTATCAGACGGACAGAAAAGGTCAAAAGCTATGTACATATGACCATATAAGATGATGCTAAGTGAAATGAACCCCAAGATAGGGAACCAAGAGATTTTTTTTCTTTGTCACTGTTTTTAATGCACTATGGGATTTTTTTGTTTCTTTTGTGTGTTCTTCCCCCATATATAACCCCGGTTGTCACTGTATTTGGCTCAGGTTGTTTTTGTTTTTTGTTTTTTTGGTTGGTCATGGGGCTTGAACTCTGGGCTTGGATGCTGTCCCTGCACTCTTCAGCTCAAGGTGAGCGCTCTACCACTTGAGCCACAGTGCCACTTCCGGTTTTCTAGTGGTTTATTGGAGATAAGAGTCTCACGGACTTTCCTGCCTGGGCTGGCTTTGAACTGTGATCCTCAGATCTCAGCCTCCTGAGTAGCTAGGATTACAGGCAAAAGCCACCAGCACCCAGCTTGGCTCAGGTTGTTTTAAATCAAATTAAATACCTATCTGTTCCTTTTTTTTTGTGGTCGGTCTTGGGGCTTGAACTCAGGGCCTATGTGATGTCCCTGATCTCTTCAGCTCAAGGCTAGCGCTCTACCCCTTGAGCTATAGCATTAATTGGAGATAAAAGTCTCATGGACTTTTCCTGTCCAGGCTGGCTCTGAACTTCAATCCTCAGATCTCAGCCTCCTGAGTAGCTAGGATTACAAGAGTGAGCCACTGGCGCCCTGCTCCTGTATGTTTTTTAACTTCAAGTTTATAAATCTTTGAATTACATTAGAATCTTTATTCTACAGTTGTTTTTTTTTTTCGGTAGTTACTTTGTCCATTGGCTTCAAAGGTGCCTGAATCTTGGATCAAGTACCTGAATTTCCCTTTGGTGTTGGCTGTGGGATACATGGTGGAAATTATTTGTAGACATGGCATCACACTGGAAAACAAATGATTCTGTTTTGTGCTGACTCCATTATTACTTACGTGTATTCATGTTGTTAGAGACTTAGCTCTTTTTGTCTTTGAATACTGAGCTTGAGACTCGTTGTCACTGAGCTCCTTGGGGTCTAAGAAAGATCTGGCTATGATGCTGATTTTGATAAAAACACACAGGATTTTAGCATAAAATACTTTAAGCTATTTTACCTTATTGGGAGGTGGGCTGGTCCATTTCATTCTAGTTACTTACAGCACAGGATGTTTTACACAAAGACTGTTGTTTTAGAAAGTTTTGGAATGTATTAACAATACTGTAGCAACTAATTCTCTTCATTGTTAAGAAAAATGGTTGTATGGTATTGAAACAAGTGGTCATGTGTTTTTAAAAACTTTAGCTGTACAGAACTTAAAACAACCTTCCCTCAGTTATTGCGTATTCTCTACTGCTGGTTTTTATAGACCTAAGTACAGGTTTGGTAGCATGTCAGACTTTGAGGTCATCCAACTGGGTTGCATCACCCATGGTGACCCTAAGAGGTGAATCTTTTGAATTCTAGGCCTGGCTTGGCCTCCGTTGAGTGAAACTCACATTTCTTCTGTGTCTACAGCCATTGACCATCATCATACTCAGAACTGTGGACACTGCCACTCCCAGCTGAACTTGGAGATTGCGTATTGTTGGGCTCGGGAGGGAGTGCCTTGAAGGACATTCTCTCGATCACATGCAGACATTCTTCCCTTTCATTAGCACAGATTAGTTATACAAGGGGAATTTCATTGTGACATTTACATACAAGCAAGAACTAGGTTTTGAATAGAATGATGTTCAGACTGGGGAAGTACTGGAGTCCATATGATGATGTAAGTTGAGTGTCTGTCACCCAAAATGCTTGGGACAAAATGTTTTGATATTAGGTATCTTGCATGTATATGTTTGTGTATATGTGCATATTCATACACATACATGTTTGTATACATCTAATATATACACATATACACACATGCACATACATATATAGTATGTATATGTGTGTGTATCATATATAAAATGGTTTTTGTGGTGAGATCCAATCTAAACAAAATTCCTACATACCATATAGGCATAGGCTGAAGGTAATTTTTATAGAATTTTTAGTGTGCCTATATTTTGACTATATCCTGTTATAGGTCAAATGTATGAGAGTGGTTACAATGTTTGAATTTGGGAATATTTCAGATAAGGGATTTTTAATCTATATTCTATTCTACAATTATTTCTTTTTTTGGGGGAGGGGTCCGGTCCTGGGGCCTGAACTCTGGGTCTGGGCGCTGTCCCTCAGCTCTTCAGCTCAAGGCTAGCGCTCTACCACTTGAGCCACAACGCCACTTCCAGCTTTTTTCTTTTTGCTTGTGTGGTGCTGAGGAATCGAACCCAGGGCCTCATGCATACAAGGCAAGCGCTCTACCACTAAGCCACCTTCCCAGCCCCTACAATTATTTCTTAACTTATGAATCATGTGTGTGTGTATTATGAGTTATCTCACAAAGGTATGTTATATCAAATACACATCCTATATAAATATATACCAAATCACTTATATATGTGAATGTGAATATATATGACATGTCTATTTTCAGCTACATCACTTTCTATATCTGTTGACTATATATGTGTTCTACATCATTTTGCTGAGTACCAATGTGTGAAATATTTTTCTGTCATGTGAGATAGGTTTTAGTTATGTACAATTTTGGACCGGAGGCTTGATTGGTACTTGAGGATGTTTGCTGTTTTAGTGGTGTGATATGCATGCAGTTACCTCGCTTGTTCACACTATGTCTGACGTTGGGTGTCCAGATTATGATGTTAGATATAGTCTCCTTGTGCTGTCACATGTAGTGTTTGCATTTTGTTGTAAGACCAAGATCCATAATAGAAAACTTTTCTTGGATCTTATAGAAGGAACTTATGGATACTTCACAGACATTTCTAGTCTATTTTTGAATTACCCTAATTAAATATCTATCCATACCTCTTGTCTTCTCTTCCCTCTCGCCATCTCCCCTTCCCTCCCCTCCCTTTCTTGCCAGTACCAGGGTTTGAACTCAGCCTCATGTGATAGCTTACGCTCTACCACCGAGCCTTACCTATGCCTTTCTTTAGTAGCTATTAGTAAAAATTAGAGGTTTCTTATTTAACAAACAAATATGTTTATAAATGTTATATTTATAAATAAGTTAAGTAGCATTGTTTTATTTATCCTTAATTTTTTCTTTAAAAAGTATGACCTCAGTCTGTTTTGATAGAAATAGTGTACTAAAATTTGCAAAGGTGAAAACAGTATTTGAGAAATTAGCTTGTTATTTTACTTCATGTCTTACAGTAGGGACCTGCCCTCTCCAGTGAAGGGCTCAAAAGTACATCTGCAACGGTAACTCTCTTTGTGCTGGTCTCTCTTTGTAAACTCATTGCTTGGGCAATGACCCATTGTCCCTGCGCTCTTTTGCTCAAGGCTAGCGCTCTATCACTTGAGCCATGGCTCCACTTCTGGCTTCTTTTGGGGGGGGGCGGTGCTTAATTAGAGATTTAGCTGAAGACTCTCACAGACTTGTCTGCCTGGGTTGGCTTTCAGCCATCCTCCTCAGACTTCAGCCTCCTGAATAGTTACGATTGCAGACATGGGCCACTTGCATCCAGCCTTTGGACCTCGTTGAAAACATCCATGTGGGGGGAGGATGGGAAGGGATGGGAAGGGGAAACAAAGGAGGAGGCTACAATGCTTGATAAGAAATGTACTCATTATCTTGCCCATGTAATTGT